GAACACACAAACACACACACACACACACATATATATATATATAGTAAATCGACGCCAGAAAACATCAGGTGGGGGGAGCTTGATAACATTACGAAGCAAGCACACTACCCAAATATTTGGGGGTTCCACAACATCCAGATATATATATATACATATATATATATATATAACTTCGGAAATATATGGCTTGGGGCGCATTTAACACGCGAACAATGGACCACGACCAATTCCAAAACCACAGAATAGGTCCAGCTGTAACACAGTATACTAGCGCTGTGTAAGCTGGGCCGTATTCACCTACAAGAACAATACCAGAAGATTGCGCAAACAATATTATGAAATAATACATACCAGTCGTTGTACACTGCATCGACAGTTCGATTCTGTGTCTCAGCACGACGCATCAACGATGTATCATCTCCAAACTACTGTATTTGGTTCTGGTGTAGAACGCATACTCTGCGCTCAGATGCCTTCATCTTAGCTGTATCATTGGCGTCGGTGGCATTGTCGGAGATTTCATGAGTCACTTTTTCTCGACCTGTGCTCGCCATGGTGTGACCATCTGAAGTGCTGCACGCCAGGCACATCGCTATCTCCGGCGCAAGGCTGGAAACACATGTTTCAATGCAAATCAGCAAGTGACTGTTTTCACCTCTTTATTAGAGACGTAGCGAGTATCTTCCGTGTTAGTACATTGCTTGCCCTTTATTCTGCCTGGCATATGTACTCACAATGATTTATAACTGTCGTTAGCTGTTTTATATTTTGGATCAAGCACTACGCGTGTCCTAAAATAAGTGTAAACAAACGCAGCCCTCAAGTAGATAGCGGTACAATGAATCGCTATCAGCACTAGAGTATTGTGTCGTGTACGAAGCGAGAGAAACTAGGATGACAAGTGCTATGTATGATAGAATGATACATACTATGTGTTGGGTCTTCCCTACAAACTGCGCACATCATATTATGTACCGCACTAAAACAGCTCCTTTACCGGTAGTATAATTAGCGGTTTGCAGGTGGCGTTGCTGGGGTACACATGGATAGCCAGAAATGCAAAGTAGAGATAACATATGCTATGGCCAAACACCTCTAACACAAGTATAGTATTTACATCTCATGAGCGTGGATATGTTTTTTATATGTGAATTTTAGGAGAACAGAAAATTTGATGATGCATAGGCCATGACTTCTTTATTTATATAAATATATAAACATCAGGGATCGTAGTGTATAAACATCAGGGATCGTAGTATATAAACGTCAGGGATCGTAGTATATAAACATCAGGGATCGTAGTATATAAACATCAGGGATCGTAATGTATAAACATCAGGGATCGTAGTATATAAACGTCAGGGATCGTAGTATATAAACATCAGGGATCGTAATGTATAAACATCAGGGATCGTAGTATATAAACATCAGGGATCGTAGTATATAAACATCAGGGATCGTAATATATAAACATCAGGGATCGTGATAAATATATGTGGTGTTCACAGTTCACATAACCGACTGTTCTAAGTTCCAACTGAAACGCTTCTTGAAGGGAACGGTATATAACGAGGTGATGCAGATTGATTTACCGCGTATTGATTAAAATTCGCGGTAATTATACGGCAAATTCAGAACCGAATGTTTGAACTGAAACGACTTTCTCAAAGACTTCATATTGCACCGCAATAAAACGTGTATGTGATACAGATTGATCAATTGGTAGGTATCAATAGTGAATATCATTAGAGTGCAATGGACTACGATAGCTATGATATCGACGGTGCGAGTGCCACACAGCCCACTCAAACACTGCCGCAGACGCAGGAAGTGGGAAACAACACACAGGTGTGTTATGTATAGTATCCCACGGCTCTAGGGTACAATCTGAACTGTATTCGCCTATTTCTCCAAACTCATTCATTCAGCAGCTGGTATATTGATATGGAACGGTATACATTACAGTACTGTAGGGCAAGTTAGGCAAGTACGTAATTATTGGTGGCAACTCATTCTTGGCAAATTTACATTCATGGGCAGCCAAGATGTGGATATACATGGATATCCTTATTTTACCTAAAATTCGCAAGGGTGTACATAATGATGCGTCTTCCTTAGACTCAAATACAAACATACACATCCTCACACATATACACATAAATACACACACACACACGCACGCACACGCATACACACACACACACGCACGCACACGCATACACACACACACACACACACACATATACACAT